CATGATTTACAGTACACCTATGATCACGTTTTTTTGTCATAAGATTCACTTTGTGATGTTTTCCTATAAATAACTTGATATTTTGGTCAATATTCAAAAAACTCTTTTCAACTACCAAGGTTTCGACTCCTTTTAGAAAGTTTTGAGTTCTTGAGTTTCTCCGGCCTTGTTTTCCGGCACGCTTCCGTCGTCATGACACACGTTCTCCTTCCTCAACCTTCACGACCTGCACCTAAGAAGATCCAAACTCAGACTAGAACATGAGAGGGGGGCGGTCCGAAGTCTTACCCACGCCTTGGGTTCTTTCATCTCTTTCTGCCTAGTGCAAACCTTTACTTTCCTTAAGAAACTAAAGTTTTGAGCTCGGCGTTCCTGCTCTTTCAGTTACCTGCTTGCTCTATAGTAACTTACTATCTCCCTTGCTGCACATATTACAGACACCATGTCACATCGGTTTAGCAGAGAGGAGAAAGGTAAAGTTGTTGCTTCGGCCACCAGATGGGTCAGGGAAAAACCCATCCAACTCCCTCAGGTTGATACATCTGCACTCATCGAGTCCAACAAACTTACCCTCATTGGTCGGGTTCTCAACACGGACGTTCAAAAACCAAAAGCATTTGTCTCTTTTTTACCAACCTTATGGTCATGGATTGGCCGCGTCATTGGTAAAGATCTAGGCAGGGATAGGTTCCAGTTCCGCTTCTCTTTGGACGAATATCTGCAGGCGGTACTACGCAAGGCCCCTTTTCACTACAACGGTGGATGCTAATACTACAACGATGGGAGCCGATTATAGCGAAATCATTTCCATCACAAATACCCTTCTGGCTTAACGTTCATGGTCTCCCTCTTCACTACTGGACGAATGAAGCTCTCGATGCAATAGAAAGAAAGCTGGGAAAAGTGGTAACTACAGACGCTGTAGAATGCAGAGTCCAAGTTGAAATCAATGCTCTGTACCTGTTAGTTATGCGGAAGAACATTCAAGTTCCATCTGGCGAAGAAACACCAATGGAGTTTGAATATGACCAACTCAAGAAACACTGCTTTGACTGTCTCTGGCTCTCTCATGAAGAAAAAGATTCCCCTTATGTTGCAAAAGTAAAGACAAGAGAGATGGCCATAAGGAGTACAACAACAACTTAAGCTTAAATCAAGAATATACCTTGCAACAAATCAGAGATCTCAAACAGCGAGCTAGAGACAGACGCGAGGTTCACCGACATGTCAAGCCATATGAAAATCCTAGATCTGAGCACTATCGATCACAACGACATTTCACAGGCCATCACAGTTATGATATACCCAGCTCAGGCAACGAGTCGGAGAGCAGGAACCATCGACAAAGGAACAAACGCTACAGTCCTGGGAGAGAGAGATTCTCATCACAGTCGTTGGCTCGTTCTCGCTACTCTCCTTTGGGCCACCACTCAAACTCAGGACTCCCAACTATCTCGAACTCTCGTCGTGAAAACTCTGGGTCTCCGAGCTCTTTGCCACACCGGAGTTCGATTAGGAGATCCCCAAGCTTTAACCAAGAGTTCAGAAAACGTAATTCTCCATATCGAGAACGGACACCCCCTCCTTCACCTAACCAACGCCGAACCCTTGATCCCAATGGGGAGGATTCCCCTCTGTCGATCAGACCGGCCCTAGAACAGGTGACCCAGAAGAATCAAGTCCAGCCCAATTCCCCCTCTCAAGCCCAATCCCAAAGGTCTTCCTCCTCTCGGCTTCAAAATGTTGTTGTTCACTATGCCGATAACTTAAACTCTAATGAATTGGAACAGAGGAGACAGATTTCTCTCCAATTCCTATTCTAGAAAGAGAAACCCGATCCCAACTCCGAGCCCCTCCACCGATCATGCAACTTGCTGCATCACCCCCTCAAGCCACTTGTTCCTTAGCCCTTCGATTGGGTGAAAGACAAGAAACTCCCAGAGAGGTGACCTTTACCTCAGAGCCAAAGTATGCTGAAATGATGGATCCTGACGTGAGCAAAGAAAATAATCGGAGTCGGGGCAGGGGACGAGGACGAGGGAGGGGACAGGGTGGTGGAAGGAAAACAATACCGAGAAGCCCTTTACAAGGTGCATCTACATAAAAGAGAAACGTCACATGAACCCAGCCTTCCTCTCGCAAGAAGCTCTGCTTAGGAAAAAGTAAACAAGCTTCCACTATGAATGTGGACAACATCGATGCAACTGGGTTGAGAGCCATTTTGAATGGAGGTTCTTCAACAGAGGCTGGTCCTAGCCATATACCTGCAAGCACCTCAATCCATAGAGTCTCTCAAAGTTCAAA